GATGATGCCAACCCTGTACAAACTTTAATGTTTTTAACGCAATGTAATTAACGCAAAAAACAATTTTCACTTTTTTTGTGAAATATGTGTGTTCTAATAGTGTTTTTTTTAGCTGCGTGGGACTGTCAACATCTAAAAAAATGTGTTTTGGTGTTTTGTGACCTTTTTAAGGAACACTTCTTTTTGGAAATAGGCTCATTTACCTCAGCGCTGAAAAAAAAGAAAGTTGAAGTTTTACAATTTATTATTCCATTCAGCCAATCTCCGGATCTAGCAGGAACATTTTTAGCTTAGCTTAGCATAAATCATTGAATCAGATTAGACCATTAGCATCTTACAAAAAATCTCAAAATCTCACTCTCAAAAAAATTCTAAATAGAGTTTTGATCATTTTTCTTATCTAGAGCTTGACTCATCTGCTGTTACATTTATTACTAAGAGCAACGGAAAAAGAAAAGTTTATATTTTCTTGGCTGATATTGCTACGAACTATACTCTCATTCTGACATATTATTAATAATAATAATAGAACTTTGCAGCCTTGCAGCACTGTTGCCTAGTTACCTAGCTGGGGACTTTTTTCAGGGACTGCGTAATATCATTGCGCCTGCTGCAGCCATGGAATTATTTAAATAAACCCAACCTATATTGAAATTATTATAGTGAAATAGTTGGAATTAAAGCCAGTAAACAGAGCTTGACTATAAGCCCTGATATAATTAGTATGGCATTAAAAAAAAAAATTGTAAGTTGTTTCAGGAGTTAGAAATAGTTTGAGAATGTGTGTAGTTACTTGTTTTATGTTTATAGCTGCACTAAAACTACTTTTCATGTTAACCCGTTTCTCTAACTCTATTATGTTAAGGGCTATAGAAATAATTATGACATGAATGGATGTTTGCTGTGTATTGACCTCATGACTACACCTAAACAAAGAATGAAAGAGAACTTGAGTATATCGGGGTCTTAACATTCATCAAACCGACTGAAAATTATCACTGGTGACTCCTCTGGTGAAAAATAAAAAAAATTGGCGCATGATGCCTCCTAACAGGAGTGAATTTGAAAAGAGAAAAAGGCACAGGCTGCGCTCAGTTGCTGTTGGATCCGTCTTTTCCCTGAAAGAATTCCCGATGAGTAGCGTGTCTGTCAGCTGCTCATGGCACACATGGACCTGTTGTGCCATACAGAAGCTCTCAAAGGCCTGCCAATGCTCTGCAACCACGAGCTCTGCGTGTACGGGCTGTACAGGAAATCAAATCTGGCTAGTTACAGATTCCACAGTAACACGGACTCAGATGATGCAGATTCGGGGTGTGACAGGGTTTGGGGTGAATGTGGGTGGCAGCCTGGAGCATCGGTGTCACTGTTTGGATGAGTACTGTGCTTGTACATGCAGCCCGCTGACCCTCTGTTGCAGGTAAAAGGGAATAATTCATCGCTAGGCTCCCCAGGATAGAGGCTTCAGAGCAGCTTTGAGTTTTACTGGATTTGGGGGCTGTTTTACACTGCTGGAAAGCTGATATTGGTGTGATTTGGAATATGGTAGCAGTGCCAGCTGTTTATTAGGAGGTTTGTTTATAGTCTGAGACACATTTGGAGCAACTATGAGCTATAATTAGACTACAACTAGTTTGAAAAACATACTGGCTGTCCAAAATTGCTAATTCTTCAAAAGCATGTTCATAAAAAGTATGTTCTATGCCAAATGAATTTGCTGAAGTACATCGGTGGCTACATTGATATCATCGATATCATCGATAAATGTGTGTGTTTTTTTTGGCCCGAAGAATGAATGATCGGATAGATAATTATAGATTGTTTTCAGTGGCTGATCCACATTTTTGTATTTCACATGATCACAAGTAACTGTTGCATGCAGTGTGGGAGTTCTGTGAAAAAATGCATTGTGAGAAAAGAAAACTTTCCTTGCAGTTTAACACAGTTAAGATTTTAGAATAAAATCAGATGTTCACTGTATTTGTTTTTTGCTTTTTGTTATTTGTAATCAGTCTAAAAAATATATAAAAGAATTATATCAGATTATGAATCATGGTATTTTCCGTCCATTCCATATCAGTTTTCAAACAAAAACGTCAGTTACAGTCTGACTTACAGTCTTTTGCTCACAAAAAAAAAAAAAAAAAAAAAAGATTTTGGCTCGATTTTTATTTATTTAAGGTTGGAAAAAGGGGTGTTTTATCACCACCTACATGTGTATAATGAATTTTACAGTTGTTGATCTGTTTTCCTACCCTAAACCAATAAACCATAATCTAGCCAAAATCTTGTTTTTGTTTTTTGTGAGAAAAAGAAAAACAGAAAAACAGATGTTTTCTTAGTTTTCCTTTTTTGTTTGAAATGAACGGAAGGGACCCTGATTATTATGCATGTAACTGCGAATATATTGATTTTTATCAGTTATCAGTATCAGCCAAAATTTCCATATTTGTGTATCCTTAAATATAATCCAGACCAATTGGACTGTGGACTGTGACTTGGACTCCAGCGACAATAGTTATGTTGGTGCTGTCACTTGTTCCATTACTGTTATTCAGAAATTCTCTTTTATGGCCTCATGGGATAGCACATTTTATGCTGACTTAATAATCTTGTTGGATGTCTAGGTGTACTGTTCACTTGAAAATAATACTCTGTTCTAGGGAGGTCATGATCAGGAAGTTTTGTTGTGCAATATATTGTCACAAAAATTGTTGCGATAAGCGTTATTTATGTCATTTTGAGATCAATTAATGCCACTGATTATATCACAGCATAATAATGCAAATAGTCATAAACACTTTAAAAGACTTATCATCCTAAAGGTTATTTCGATTCATTAATTATTTTTATGTTAAAAAGGTAAATATCCTATTATAGATATCATTAAATGTCTAATTAGTTAAATGTCTACTTAAGAGTTCAGATGCAAAAGCTGCTAAACGCCATTTCCAGCAAAATTGGGCTAATGACATTGAACGAATACTTTAGGCACGTAGTATATGTTCAACAAATATTTTTGCTTTAAATCATCTAAATCCCAGTATTAACAGTTTCAGAAATAACAATTTGTTGGCAAAAGCCTCTAAACGCCACTTGTTTAGAGTGTTTTCAATGTAGCATCACGCTGATACACCGGATTTTTATGAGAAGACTGTTTTATTCAGATTCAGAAGTAGATGTTAAAATATGGAGTTAGATAAACTGCATAAACCTGGCTGACCTGACTCACTGAATGGCAATTGAAAACGTCCTTTACCTCAAAACTCTGTGCATTAAAGGAAAAAGAAAACACACTGTACAGTCGAAAGTGTAACATGCGATCTTGATGTGTTTTTGCGCAGTGACGCTAAATTGAATGAGTACGATTTACTATACATTAAACGGCAACTCCATTTCACGAAAGACGAAGTTCAGATGCCGTTCTTTTATCCCACATGGATCCTATGAAGATAAACAATTGACGAAAAAGAATCCAAGACATTGAGTATGGTAAGAACGAACGAATGACAGCTTCTGTCTGAGACACATCCTATTTTATCATAAGTGACATTTCTGAAAAAAAGTTATTTTATTTACTAACTCCTAATCTTTACATTAGATATAAAATGAAACTTCTGAACCTAATCAGAGGAGCCTGATAGAAAATGCTCATTTACAAAAAAAAGAGGTCTGATGGATTTAGAGAGTTTTGTATCTGAACTCTTCAATAATAAACTTTGACACCTGTACGTAAATCTCATTGTAAAATGGCTTGAACATCATTTGTGAATTTAAATACATATATTGCAATGGGAAAAATGATTGACGTCACCTCCAAGTATTGCTCGATAAGTCGATATATTGATTATTGTGACAGACCTACTCTGTTCACGTTCCATTTTTTGCTTGCCATATAATATAAAAGCATGCAACTTTAGATGCAAGCTCTGCCCAGATTTGCTCACGTTGTAATGTGTGTGGACAGACTGCTAATTTTTTTGGTCATCTGGAATGAGCGTGACAAGCGTTTCTGGTTTTCTACTGCGCTTTTCCTTGAAAGTAGATTCTTTCGTCGTGTTTTTTTTTTCATTCGCTTTTATTCCCTCTCACGGGCTGTTAGAGGTTTGTCCGCTGTCAGTCCGGCCCCTGCGGGGCAGTGCAATAAACAGATCAATACAGCGGGCCTGTGCACATTAATATCTGTCGTGGTGCCTCCGACCCGATCACTCAGGCCCACACGCCAGCCTCGGAAATGGCCGCCAGCTCCCGAGGGAACCGTCTAATTAAAAAAGGGCCAGAGGAGAGAGGGAGCGAGAGATGAGAGCGAGGGAGAGGAAGAGAGGGAGGCATGCAGGATGGATTTTCTATTTAACACCCTTTCATTAGTGAGCGCGCTTCCTGTTGTGACCCTGTTAGTTTGGTAATGTTGGGAGATGGTCTGGGCTGGTCTAACATCACAGATCCAGTGGCTCAGTTGCATTTCAGTCATATTGTCTCAAACAGTTTAAGTCATAATTATTCATGGATGTGTTTTTCTGGCTGTGTGTATTATTAAAGTGTTTGTTAAGGATTTGGGATATGAACTAACTCCTAACTCCTTATATTATATTTCAGCACATCCATTTTATTCTATAGGCATGAATGATGCTTCAAACTGTGTGGCACATATTCAACATGTTCAAGTACTTTTATATACAACTAGAATCCTATCATAGGCCTTGCTTTACACTAATGTGCTCTCCATTTTGACCTTTCATCCACACTTAGATTGTGATTTTTGATAATGAAGTTTTTTGAAAATGGACAGAATTGTAAATGCACATTTGTTATTGTATTGTGGACTGCTTTTTAGTCACTTGAGTTAGCAGTATAATAAAGTATAAAATCGTACCTGTGTGTTGATAAATCCTGCTCTGTGACTCTTGGACTGAATCTTAGCATTGGTTCAGAGTTAGATTGACAGATTTGGCTTTAAATGAGGCTCCTGATTTAACTGGCCTATTTCGTTTCATTCACAGAGCTGCTACATGTACGTCAGGAAGCCATGGTTGCTGTTAGAAATCCAGGAGGAATGGAAGCCCACGTCCCCTCTGCAGGCAGCTCCTCCAGCCAGCGGCGCAAACAGGGCCTGCCCCAGCACAGAGACGCACACTTCCCTGAGCGGTAAGGCATATGCACATCATCATCATCACAATTTCAGTGTCTTCTTCTGTAGTTCTGTGTTAGGCAGAGAGCATCAAAACCTGACTAGGTGTCCTTATCAGATATGATATGAACATTTTCACACAGCTAATAATATATTTGAGGGCAAACATTTTTGAGTGAGTGAGGTTTTTACGCCAGTGCATTCCCACAAAGCAATTATGTTTCTAGATAACTTGACTAAAACAAGGCTAAATTTGGGCTGTCAGTGAAAAATCTAATAGTTGTTTTAAAATAGCCCCAAACTAAACGAGTTATTAAATCAGAGTATATACAGGACTCAGAGAGGGAATTCAATACCTTTTAAAATCTTTTTTAAGACTATTTCCATCCATTTTTAAGACCTTCTAACCAATTTTCAACCGGAAACACTGACAAAATTTTAACTTACAGTACTTTTACTAAATATTAATGTAAGAAACTAATCCAAAACTAAAACATTATTCATATACTGAATACAAATCTATTAAATCTAGCTAATTCAGCAGATTGGTGCCTATAGAACTGCAGAAATAATGGTGTTGCCTAGGTTACTGCTGTAAACAAAGCAGCATTAAGTCAAATCTAGTAGGATTTTATTGATTTTATCAACTACACAGCATCTTGCTATTCGCAGGTTTAATTCAGGCAAACTTTAGTATACAACTATACATTGCATAATTAAAAATTATATAAAATTTTATACCTTGCAAAATAGCATTTAAGACTTTTTAATACTTTTTAAGGTCCTTAAATGTCTCTACATTGATTTATCAACTTTTACTTTTTTTACTTTTATCAACTTTTAAGACCCCCCAGACACTCTGTAAATACACAGATTGGACTTAACCCGAATAGTCTTACATTCCTGTGTTTTAGCCTTTTCTTAGACTTTTACAATGGCCTGTTTCCACTGAGTGGTACAGTGCGCGTCACTTCTATCAGGTTTGCAATTCCACTGCCAAAAGGGTACCTATGGTACTCTTCTGTCACGTGGTGTACAACAGAAAGTTTCAGCCAATGTTATTCTCGCTAGAGGAAATGTCAACGTAAAGCTGTACTTGACGTTCACATATCAAGCACTTCTCACAAAACAGAGGCTTTATACACATAAATACTTGTGTTTAAATGTTCATTACTAACATTTTTATGAACACAATTTGATTACAGCTGCAGATCAATGACAGTGCAAAAAAACCTACTGTAACTTCTGAAATTATAGAAATAAATAAATAAATAAATGCAACATATATGAACACAAACAGACCCTTACACTCTCCAATATGTTAGCAATTACAGAAAAAAACTACACACAGCAAACATTTAGTCCTTATTTAGGTTAAAAAATGCACAACATATAGCCCAGTGAAAACCTGTCATCTGTGTCTTTAATCTTCACCAGCAGCTTGTTCATCTTTAGGTTGCTGAAAGAATCATTTGCTCCTTTGTTTTTTCGGCTTCTCTTTTGTTTTTTCATGATTCACTTTCACATTTGTCCATTTCTGAAAGGATCTGATGTCAGAAACACCTCAATAATCATGCGCACATTATTATCATCAGCTCAAGAAGTTTATTTTAAATAAAGATGCTTGGTAATTGCACACGAGAAAGCGAAATCACTCTCGCTTCAGACTGCCTTGTAAACAACAATGGGGCACAGAGTAGATCTGCTCTTCTTCTTGGCTTTGTGGCTGTTCATCAAGATGTGGACAAGGTTTGTTTGAGCTCGGGTCAGCCATGTCATTATCTGTATATATTGTTACGGTGTAATGTCTGTATTTAAAAATGGCGGTTCCTTTGTTTTCATTCCCCTGGCTTGTAGCACGAGCGAGGGACACATCTCTGTAAACCAATAGCCTTCAGCTGCGCTACTTGCTCTGCCTTTTGATACCCGTTTTGTTGTGCTAGGTACCCTTCGCAAAGGGTACCCAAAAATTGGTACTGTACTGTTCGCTTTTTGGTGTCTTTTGGCATTGTAAACGGCCATAAAAGCATACCAAACCATATTATTTTATTATTATTATATTTTCACTGACAGCCCAAATATAGCCTTGTTTTAGCCTAACCATCTTTTAGATGTTTATTAGACTTTTTTTAAACACAAAAAAGTGCTTGCTGGGATATAGAAATAGAGAACAGATGAATAACAGTATATCCCATGTCACATTGTCAGCTCGTTTGAGCTCTTTTAGCGTGTGGCATCTGCTTAGGACAGTGGTTGAAACCACACGTATGCTTTTCTGACACTTGATCAGAGTTTAAAAGTGGATGAGATGTATGTGTGCACGCTGATAAATGGCCCTCTTCTGAATGGAAACCTCAGGCACTCTTTAAGACCACGGATACAGAAAAAAAATGCAAAGCTTTAAAATAACATGAATATTTTACATTAATAATGAAGCCAACATCCGACTAATGAATACTGCATGCATGTTGGAGTGGGTGACTGCCTGCCGAAGAGAAAAGAGGGAAAAATTGAATTATGCACCAAAGTAACGGAAGAGGGAAAAATGGAAGTTGGCGTTAAGGCCATGGAAAGAATAGAAAATCCACTTAATGGGATGTGCCAGTGGGTATGATCTCTGCGTATGACCTCTTCGCAACCCTGTTCGATTTGATCTTGTCAGGAGGCATTTATAGGGCTCAGGACCGAATGGGTCGCTAGGAAAACACGCCATTCCCCTCTCTGCAACATTTCTCCCCCCTGAATCACTCCCCCCTCCCTCCCTCTCTCCTCATCTCAGCAAGGCCACTGTGCTCGCGGCGCTCCCCTCCGCCTCCAAACAAAGCCCGGGCAGCGGGAGTAGGCAGGTAATTGCTTGTCGATTATTTATGTGGCGCGGGAAGCTGGAGGATCGATAATGGGCCGGCGAGGCGAGGCGGTAGGGAGGAAGTGAATTGGGAGGGGTCGCCCAGCGTGGGTGGGGGAACTCTGTTCGGTTCCTGGCCCAGCGCAGCATCATGTCAGAAGCTCAGCGTGCAGCTTTGACCAGCCAGCCGCCGCTGCTCCGCCAGCTCACGGTAATTAGCCACACAGGACCGCTGATGTTAACGAGGCCTGCACACTTCCTAGGTTGTGGGTGAAAGGAGGGAGGGAGGGAGAAAAGTGTTTTTTTCTTGCTTCTGCACGCTCATTTTTTGTTCATCTGGTCCTTTAATCCTTTGTTTAAGTATTTTGTTTGAGCTCAAAAAATTTCTAAATTGCTAAAATTCACATAAATAATATAGAATTTTAGTCAGTTTATTCACCCCATGTTGTTAAAAACTCTGTATCTACAAAATGAGAACATGTTTTCACTTTTAATGTAATTACAGTTAACAGGGACCACAGATTTGAAGCTTCAAAGCACATGAAAAAAGTTTTTTTTTTAAAAAGTGCTTTGTATGACTTTCTGTGCTTCAAAGGAGTGAAATAGCAATTTGTGGGGGGTGGTAGGAGTGCTCACAGTTGTACTCTAGATCTCAGATCATCATAAAATAGAATCTAATAACATAAGATATAAAAACAGCGTTTATGAAATATTTTGCAACTTACTAACCATATATATACATATATAATATATAATATATGTGATGATATTTGTCAAGATCTGTTGCACAGAGACATTTCTGAAGTCTGTATTTAACCATAATAATTGGATCATTGTGACTATTATGATTCATGAGCATTCAGTCCATTCTTTTGGTCACATCTTGTCATCTCAAATCCTGTTCATGGTTCTTTCATTGTCCTTTTCCACTAAGTGGTATAGGTCGGTATGGCTCACCTATATCAGGCTTGCGTTTCCACTGCCTAAGGCAAACTATTTCAAGGATGTCTTGTGTCCTGCACAGTTTAGCTCCAACACTAATCAAACACACCTGCTTATAGATTTCTAATGATCATGAAGACACTGATAAGCATGGTTAGGTGTTTCTGATTAGTGTTAGAGCTAAACTATGCAGGACACCGGCCCTCCAGGATCAAGTTTGCCCACCCCTAAAGCCTGGTTTATACTTCTGCGTCAAGTGACCGGCTTAACCCACGGCGCATGCAACACCAGAAGCTGTGCATTTATACTTCTGCGCGCTGTCTCTGTTGGTCTGCATTACACTTCCGAACTGCTAGTTGGCAGTGAGGTGTAAATGTTGCTCTGTGTCGAGTTTCTTTGCTGCTGTTTTGCTTTTCCTGAACACTTCCTGGATGTACAAGTGGCTCAAACTTGCTCATTTTGAGGCAGGAACCGGCAGACGTGCAACAACTTTAACTATGAGGTAAACACAGAACAAAACTTTCCATCCGGAGCTCCTTCATGGGACTCCACACTTGTAAACAATCACTCGCTATTCGCGCGGCTCTCGGTCCCGCCCAGACTCATCAGCGCTACCAAGCCAACCAATCACAGAGCTTGCGCTACGCGTCGTTGCGGCATGTAGTTACATTTTTTGAGAGGTGCACGTCAACGACGCTGAAGGCCACGGCGAAGGGTTATGCATCAGCGCCGTAGCATACGCCGCCGTTTGACGCAGAAGTATAAATCAGCCTTTAAGAGTATCAATGGTCACTCTCACATTTGTCCATTTCTGAAAGGATCAGGCGTCAGAAACCCTTCAATAATCATGCGCATGTTATTATCATCAGCTCAAAAAGTTTGTTATTTCAAATATAGATGCACACATGAGCTCTTTTGAGAAAATTAAACCGCTCACACTTTTAGACGGCTTTATAAACAACAATGGGGCACAGGGTAGTTCTGTTCTTCTTCTTGCCTTAGTGGCTGTTCATCAAGACAACGACAAGGTCTGTTTGAGCAAGGGTTGACCATGGCTCGTTATTTTATGTATATATTATTACGGTGTAATGTATCGGCTGTGGATTCAAAAATGGCGCTTCCTTTATTTTCATTCTCCTGGCTTGTGCACAAGCTAGTGATGTATCTCTGTAAACCAATAGTGTTCAGCTGCACAATTTGACAATTTGATTCATACTAAAGATAAACTACACACACTTTAATTTAGTCTTTTTTTAGACAATCACTTTTCAAAGCTCATTTCTCTAGTCAGTGGATAATGCATTTAAAAGAGCTACCAGCACAGTCTTCAAATTCTCTGTTTTTCTTCTCCACAGTCGAATCAAAGACATACGAGAATATGATGGGGGAAATATATAGATGACAAAATACTGGCTTGGATGTTTGAGTGGGCTATAAGCTTTTAGCACTGATTGTGTGACATTGCAAACCCCTCTAAAGCATCGACAGAGTCCACCAGGCTAAAACAGTGAGCCGGAAGCCATTCCTCAAGCTCACCTTTCTATCGACTCTCCATAATTGATTATCCGACGCCCATTAGTGGCTATTGTTAAAAACAAATCATTACCAAGATCAATAGTCCTGCAGCCACTGCTGGCCATTTGTCTGGGTTTAAATGGCAGATTGCATTTAGGGAATCTGCAAGGCAAATCCTAATGTGTTTGGCATGTGGGGCATCACAAGCAACAGACAGTGGTCTGGGGTGGGGGGCGGTGGGTGAGCAAGAGCCTTATGCATTTTAATGTGCTTCCTGTGCAAATGTGTTCCCGCCTCGAGTCAAGGCGAGGCGGGCACGGTGTGGCGAGCGGCTAATCCCCCGCGCTCCTCTCATTAAGGGCCATCCTGTCAGCTCCGCTCCACTTTTCTCTCTCTCTCTTACTCGTCTGGCCAGTTTGGTGCTCTGCCTCTGCCTCCGCCTTCACACACACACACACACACGCACACACACACACACACACACACACAAATAGATGCAACGCTCCACACTGCCGTTGCTTTCAGGCAGGGAGCGACGCCGCTGCCACTCTGACAGGTCGTCACACATGAGCGAACACAAGTGGCGTCTACTTGCCCTACCGCCAGCTAGGTTGTGAGAGAGCTAGAGAGAGATCGACAGATAGAGAAAAGCAGAAATGGGGCAGGGTGGAGGAACAGAGGCAGTCTTCAAAAGATGTAGAGGTAATTAAGCTGATAACCTGAACAGTCTTTGTGCTGGAAATAAATGTAACCATTTTTAAAGCCGCCTGTGCAATGTTGCAATACTTCCTTCTATCTATTCTACCTAAAGGGACATCTTGACTTTAAAGCAAAGCACTGATTTAATCATGTCAATAATCTGTGAAACAATGAATTTTCTTCTATTTTGGAAAGAACAGTCTAGAACAGTAGTAAATACCACTGACTCGCTGTATAGGTTTGAGAAAAAAAGAGGCTGCGTCCGAAACCGCCTACTACTCAGTACTGCATTTAAATTTGCACGTACCACTCCACTGTTAGAAAAGTACATTCTATACAGTAAGAATGTGAGCAGTTTCAATGGAACTCGCACACTTCAGAATCCGGATGTAGAAGGTCATCCGGGTACTTCTCGCATACTTTAGAATTCTATACACGCATCCTAAATGGCACACTATACATCAGGGGTGTCTAAACTCGGTCCTGGAGGGCCGATGTCCCGCAGATTTTAGCTCCAACTTGCTTCAACACACCTGCAAGAATGTTTCTAGAAAGCCTAGTAAGTGTCTGATTGGGGTTGGACCTAAACTTTGCAGGACACCGGCCCTCCAGGACCAAGTCTGGACATCCCTGCTATACACTATGCTATTATCTGCTATGTTCTTATGCACTTACCCATTCCACAGCATAGTATGTGTTTGTAGTGTCGTCCCAAATGGAACACTAACTTTTTTACTAAGTGGAAATTCAAACCGTTACCTAGATGACATTTAACCAGTTGCCAAATTAGCGAAATGACTGACCAAACTACCAAAGACCTGCTATGAGTATAACCACATTCGTCATCGGAAGGCAGCTTAATCACTCTTGTAGGAGAATTTGCTCTCACAATCCAAAATAAATAAAGTAATCCAACATCAGCCTGAAAGCTCCGCCCCTTCCGCTATGTGCTGTTGCTGAGTGCATGAAGAATAAGTGCATCACCCGGGTATTTAAAGTGTACTTATTCTTTTTAGAGTTTTCAGTGTGAACGTACTACTTACACTATTTATACTACAAAATGGCATAGAATAGTGCATTAAGTAGGCAGCTTGGGATGCATCTTATGAATTCGGACATATTACTCGGCTCACATACTGTTTTTAGTGCACACTATATAGTATAGAAGCTTTTGATTTGGGACGCCGCTATAGTGTTTTCTTGTTTGTGGCAGATTTATTCATTATTTCAATAATGCACAGGTTATGATTGCTATTTAGTCTGGTGCCACAAGTGGTGCACAAATAACACACTTGCAACTTTAAATTGACTTTTTAAATATCTTATGTAAAAAATACATGTTTAAACAGAATCGTAGATCCTGCCCTTCACTGTATCGCCCTGTCCCCCCCCCCCCCCCCTGCTCTCTCTAAAGCCCATTTTTCTTTTTCTGTGGGCCAAAGACCCAGAGTGAAACGGTTAATGCTTGCCTCATTCCAAAATTGCTTCCTATAAAAGGAGAAGCACGTCTGCCGGGCACGTCTCCCCATGATTACAGCTAATTACTATCGAGCGGACGCCTCGCGGCCCCAGTCATGCAGCTTTAATTGACCGTTATTCATCTGTGGGCCGCGCAGGGCGGCGCAGAGTTTGGCAGGCCTGGCCAGCGCCGCCCGGGCTAATTGTGAGGCCTGAGGGATTAGGCCAGGTGATTACACACTTCACAGTGTAATTACATAAGCATGGCTGGGCTGCCGGCCCGACTCCCGGCCCCAAGGTCACGCGCTGCCTTCTTCCAGATTAATTGGAGCTGCCACAGAAGTGCAAGGCACCGGCGGAAAGCGGGTATACGATTAGCATTAACATTTCAACAGCCGCCCAATCGATCGATGATTTCCCCCCCTTTGTGTCTCTCCACACCTTCCTCCACCCCTTCACAAACTCACTCTATCCCTCCCTAGTTTTTTTCTTTGTTTTTTTGCTCAAGGAAGACATACGAGGAGTCTTTAGCTCAAAAATGATGTAAACCCTAAGTAGAGCACAGCAAACTATAGCTCCTCTCCTCATTTCAGATGGGTTTTTCATTTTTTCTGTTGGGATGTTTATGTGTTTGTGTTGTGCTGCGATGCTCTCTCTCCCCCTGGAGCAAGCGTTGCTCAGTCACAAGTACAAAGCAGCCACACTGTTCTTTCGCTTGCTTTAGGCATGTAGGGCTTCATTTATATTTATGCATGTGTGTGAGTGTTGGGGGGCTCAGTAAAGAAGTGCTGCAGTAAAAAGAGGGGCTTGCATTGGCAGAGGTGCAGTAAAAGCTTTAAAAGACACTGCAGGTTGTGCCTGGATTTCAACACCTCACCACTTGCAGTCATAGCACACGTCTTCATATTTTTTCCCTCCCTCCTTTTTACTTTTTACCCCTCCTCTCATTTTCTTTCTCCCCAGCTGAGGCTCAATAAAGGCGACCGCTGTATTGTATACGAACAGCCTGTGTTCTCCGCCTGTACAAAAGGAGAAAAATATAATTGAGGCTACGCGACATGCCACCTTTTTATTGGCTGAATACGGCAGAGAGAGACAGGAAGAGGAGGGGGATGTGTGCGTGTGTGTTGGGGTGGAAGAGGAAGAACTGTGTTAATTAGTGGGTGCTTCAGCCTGTAGCCCGGGCGAGGCTGGGGGGCCGCCCCAGCTGTCGGAGTATGACATGCTCTTATTGTGCATTCAGGCCTCATTACCAGAGTGGCAGGGCCGCAGAGCGCAGCAGAGCAAGAGGGAGGGAGTAAGAGCGAGGAGATGATGGAGGTGGTGGTGGTGAAGGGGTGCAAGGATACAAACAGTGCCGCTGTCCGCAGCGTGACAGGACTGATGAGGGGCTACGGTTGCGCGCATGCAATGGAGGGAGTGATAAAAATAGATGACGGAAGAGAACACGGCATTACCTTTAGACTTTAGAAACCTGTATTTGTGTCTATACCGCCATGCAGAAGTAACAGATAGTTGACAGCCTGTTTATTACCATAACACTGTACAACTGTTCCTGACTCCTGAATCATTACTCTTTTAGCAAAAAGAGCCATAATGGACTATTAAAATCATTACTATAAACCTGAAAAACTGTATCATCGCCATAAAGCCCGCACAAAACTGTACCACACCGAAGAACATGAAGAACTGAACCATGATTTCCATACCACCACACAGAAACATCTTGTTGTTGTTGCTCAACCTATTGCTCTCTGAAATATGGAAAAGGGTTAGAAATTACACTGTAAACATTTTAATCAGGTAGCTAAAGACAAGCCAAGCCAAGTTGCAATCATGACACCGATAGTGTTTCCAGTGTTAGCCATTTGCAATAGTGACTATAATACAACAGAAAAACAGTAGCAGTTGGTTAATGATGGTGTGTTTTTTGTTTGTGTACACAGAGATATATCGCACCCTCCACCATTGCTGTCCCCACAGAATGCTCCTCATATTGCTCTGGGGCCTCACCTGCGTCCCCCGTTCCTGGGCATGCCTTCTGCCCTCTGCCAAGCCCCAGGTGAGATTTACCTCTGCCAGATGCAGCACACTTACTTTAACTCTAAACTCGTTTAACCTGTGAGTTTCTTTAATGGGTAATGGGGTGTTCCCAGCCATATATGCATTCAGCAAATATCTCTGATTTTAAAAATGGCATAATTTTTCGGGGTTTATGTAATTAACAAGTGTTGTATCTTATATACAATGCAAAACTGATGTAAAGTTCTCTCGCAATTGTCTTTTAGGTTATGGTTTTTTGCAGCCTGCTCAGGCGGAGATGTTCGCCCGTCAACAGGAGATTCTTCGTAAACAGAACCTTGCAAGGTAAGGTTATAGATTTGGACCTAGAAATGTGGTTTAATCAATTACTGTAATGTTTAAGAAACATTTTATGCTTTATGCAGTTTATGCTTATTAAAAGACAAAGTCAGATGGTAATACACAGAACCATAGTGTGGATTTTCATATTATTATGTAATAGATGGCAGTTTTTCTTTGAACATTTTTCTTTAAGATGCACCATGCCTCTCTGACTGTGGATTGTTCCTCCAGGTTGGAAATGTCTGCTGAGTTGTTGAGACAGAAGGAGTTAGAGAACCTCCACAGGCAGCGACTGCTGGCGGACCCATTGGGCCTGCATCCCGGGCTCCCTGCAGAACACCCTGCCTTACGCAGCCTGCAAGAAATCCCAGAAGGCCACCCGCTCCGAGAGGAGCTCAATCGCCGCAATGCCATGCTGGTTTTGCGGCACAACAACACCCCATTACTCTCCCTCAACCACCAGGGGGCAGCAGCAGGCACTTCCTCTAAAGACCTTAGCAACAGGAAGAGCTTGAGGAAAGGAGGACCACTCCAAGGGGACCAACAGGGGGGTTCATCTGAAACAAAAGAGATGCTCAGAGAGGGCTGCGTGCGAGATGTAGAAACAGAGGGAATGGATGAAGACATGAAAGACTCTGAGAATGATGCAGAGGTTGGGGAAGACAGGCCGGAAAGGCTTTCCAAAGGGGACGGACATGGTCTCAGTTCAGAGGTGTGCCAAGGAAAGGACGTAACCAAGACTAGTGAAGCAATAAAAGAGCTAGGGGAAGGGTCAGGAAGGCTCAGTGTACCTTGTAGCTCCACAGGCCAAGAGTCACCAACTCACCACCTTTTCACATCAGGACTTGGCAAGAATGAGGCTAAATACCTGCCACCAGGAATCCCACCCTTACCCACTTTGCCTGGACAAATGCTGCCCTTCACTTTTCCGTACTCCAGTCCTTACTTTCACACTGGTGAGTTTACAAAATCCAGATCTAATTACAAAATCTAAATCAAACGCTTTGAAAGAAACTATACTTTAGGACATGCATTTCCACCTAAAATTTGTACAATTCAAGTGTAGCAACTTACACCGTGCACTTCACAAAGAGAGCACCAGTGACACCACATGTCTGCTCCTCAACTTTAACAATCTGTAAATTCTGGGGTTCAGATAGTATTCCATGTCCTTAGAGAGACAGAAAAAGTGAGCTGCAGAATAAGAGAGAGAAACTGAGAAATTGAGCCCAGAGTGCAAGCAAGCCCAGAGCAAGTTTTAATGGAAAATGAGTCTCCTAATGAGGAAGTGACCAACTCAGTAAGAGGCTGAGCTAACCATCCTCAGGCATTCTAACAAATACTGCACTGAACATGCAACATACAAAACAATTTTGGCTCACACAAAAATCCACCAGTATAGAACATACAGAAAATGCAGTAAGCACACAAACACTACACTTCATAAAATGGTGAAGAGGAAAGAACCACTTATAGGATTGTAACACGCTTTGGGTGTATGGCAATATACCATTACCCGAGGTTTTCCTCTCCTTATACATTTAAAGGTACGTCAATCAAAGTTCCAAAAGTATGAAAAAACATAGTACGAAACAACGAAAAAAACAGTGGGGTTTGTTCCTCAAACATATCTGCTCCGTTCTGGATCATCGACTTGTTTGGAAAAGTAGACTGGACATTGTTCTGAATAAAAATTAAAGTAGCATGATGTATTTAGTCTAACCTAGCATGAAAAGCGAGTTATTAGCTAGCAACTTATTAGCCCCAACTAAAACGTTGGCCATCTGAAACGCATTACCTGCTCCAGCTGAGAGACCTCCTCCAGGAAGAGGCCCTGCTGCTGACCTTTACTAAACTTTGAAATAGGCAGGGTCAATAACATAGCAGTGTGTAGGCACAAGTGTGTGTTTAAGGGGACAGGGGGCCTACTGTCTCTAATGATTTCTGCTTCCTTTCGGCCCGGCGGGGTCCACAGGCGCCATGGGAGGTCTTTTCGTGGACGGAGAAGAGGCAGGAGCAGCCGAGGACATCAGCAAGTGGAGTGTGGAGGAGGTGTGCAGCTTCATCAGCAGCCTAGCAGGCTGTGGGGAGTACACACAGGTGAGGACAAGAGCAGGAGCAGAGCATTGGATGCCTCCTCTCCTCCCCCTGCCTTTAACAGGGGCTGCTGGAGACATACAGTACAGCACAGAATGAAGATAGTGTGCTGCAATTTGTAGACCAGAACATTAGACCAGAATAGCTTGATTTAGATGTGTTCTTTAAAAAGTTAGAAGGCCGCTCTGCGCTGCTCTTATCTTTCTCACTCACAGCTCTGTCGTCTCACACATCTCACCACACTGGATGTCAGTCTGTTGCATGCTCAGCGCATCATCAAAACCCCACCGTCGACCGCAGCGCACCACATTTCACTGTTAATGCCAAGTGTGCATGAGCTTCCTAGTGGGATGAGAGTCTTGTGAATTGCATGCATGTTGCTTGAATTGGTCAGTGTTTATCAACATCAGCTGAAGCTAGGTCTTCTATTACAGGTCTTCAGAGAGCAGGCCATTGATGGTGAGACTCTGCCACTGCTGACAGAAGACCACTTGCTTAACAACATGGGATTAAAACTGGGGCCTGCCCTCAAGATCCGTTCTCAGGTAATATACATTTAAACATCCTGCTCCTGGAGGACCTGCATGTAGTTGTTAAGCAATTCTGAGATTTTGATTAGCTGAACTTTAGTTTTAGCTTAACTCTGCAAGACACAGGACTTTGAGAACCAATCTACAGCAGTCAACATTTGAAGTGGATCAAAAATGTTTTTCTAAATTGTCCTAAGGCAAGGATGAGTGTTGTTCAATAGTTGAACAACTCTGATGAAAGGTTTTGAACCACTTCAAATGTTTACTACTGTATAGATGCTTGGCAGAAGTGTGTACACCTCCTCGAGAAAGGGGATAGTGGTGCAGGTTGTTGTAGCAAGCAATCTTTTGAAAACTTAAATGTTGAATGGCTATTGTGCTATTGGACCAGGGCCACAGCACTGATTACCTTCCTTAGTTTTTTCAAACCCTGATTAAACACACCTGTGCAAGCTAATCAAGGTATTCATGATTCCTCAAAACATTTGTGCAGATGCTTTGGTTGAGGTTCGATCTAAAATTGAGATGAAAGTGGTCCTGCAGAAACAGACTCAGAAGCTGCACTCATAGGGTGTACTCACACTAGGTACAGTTGCCTTGAACCGTGCCGAAGCTCGATTGTCCCCCTCCCCTCTCCCCCGACGGCCTGCACTCACGCTGCATTTTGCCTTCCAAACCAGAGCATGCTTGCGTCATTGGTGATGCGACTGATCAGTTTAACAGGAAAAGAGGCACCTTTCGCTGAGCTTAGTGAAGATTGCTTTAGTTATACCGGTTTAGTTGTTTGGGACACACTGACACGCAGTCAAATATTTTGCCGAAGAGTTCCACACTTTTGACGCTCATAAATTAGCATAAAAATAATTGTTCTGCATGTATTACGAGGTTTGCTGAAGGTGGCAGCTGACGTGCAAAGGCTTTGTATGTTTAATAAACTACAACAGTGTGTTCATTGAAAAGTAAGAATGATTAATTAATCCATATGAAACAGTCCCTTAAAAGTACACTTGTACATGCGGTAGACTTGTAGTGTGAGTGCAAAGCTTGCCTGAGCCAAACTGAATCGTGCTCTGGCACATCTCTTCCAACCACGCCAGGGCCGGCCAACTGAACCACACCTGGGCCTGATTCAGAGCACTCGCACTTGTCAAACAAACCAGGTCATTCATCTGGGCATGGTTCAGATAGCATAGTGTGAATGCACCCATAGTGAAACCAACTTTCTTTTTCTTGCACAGGCCCCCATAACCCATAGGCCCACTTTTGTATCAGTTTCTTTAAGTAATTACATTTCTGCATTTATTAATCTAAATGGATCTGAGTCGCAAACATTTTATAACTCTGGTACTTCAAATCTTTTTGTACTTCCTGTTGGGTAGACAGTGTGAGATATAACACTGGCATGTTGCTGCTTTCCTCAGGTGGCGCGACGTATTGGCAGAATATTCTACATGACCAGCTTCCCGCTGGCCCTCCCGCTGCCACCATCTGCTCTGCGCCCTACAGACAGAGACCCCCTGCCCACTGAGACCCGCCCTCCTTCTACCAGCAGCACTTCCTCCCCATTCAGTGTGCCCCCTCCCGCCTGCCGCACCTCCCCTAAACAGGAGAACGGAAACCCCTCCTCAGCGGGAGCCTACGACTCCACTAAACCTCCCTCGTAGAATTGGCCATTAAAACTTTTGACTGCTTCTCCATATGGCAGAGGCAGCGCTTCAGGAAGGAGGTAAAGATGGAGAGAGGGCATGAAGGGGGCCCTCTTTGAACTATTCTTTCCTTCCTCTTACCCCCACTACCCTCCTCCCGAAATAAAAAGCAAACTTGAGGACCTTCATGCAGAGGCACTTAATCTTTTTTAGGAAAAGTGTGGAGAAATGTGCAGAAAGACGAGAGACACTGATGAAACGACTCTGGCTTAAACAGCTCCACCCTGTGCAGTGGTTGCGAGGATGCCAAAATCCAAAGATGTGCAAATAGGGACTCGGGGTTGAGACAGGAAGCGTTAAGAGTGTGTGAGAGATGAACGTGAGCCGACAGCTGCTCCTAAACAGCATGCTTGAAGGAAGAGAGTCATATTCAGTGAGGACACAAGGTACACATACAAGATTCTCTTGTGTCAGACATTGCAGGAAAGCACCATTCGCTGAGATATACTCTCGTGGTACCCAACATTCTCGGGGAACGGTGAACTTTGAGAGAGACTGTCTTTTCTGCTTTCATGCCACCACCTTCGCCAACTTCCAGCGGTTCCAGTTGGTTTAGCTTTGAAAGACTAAATCCTCCAAAGAGGAATACATACAATCTTGACTAGTGCAACTATGCATTCCACAGTCCAAAACCAAAGATGGATGGATGTGGAATATTCAAACGAGATCTAGCATTGATCTCACCAGTGACGAAACAAGGTACATATACAGGGCCATACTGAAGGAAGTGGGATGGGGAAAAGGAGACATTTAAAGCACTTAGACTTCCTGCGACCAAAAGCCATCAGCCAAAGCAATGGCCCTATCTCTCACCCAACAAACATCTGGGCCCGTTTTAGTTTTACAACCCCAGAAAAAAAGAGCATTAGGGTAGAACGTACATCCCTCTCAATGCCAGTCTGTAGATGGATTAATGCCACTGTGAGGTCACATTTACTGCTGTGGGAAAGACATATTATCCTGAATTGTACAGAAACATGCTCAAGATAAGAATATACTGAAGATGAAATAAGTGGTACGTTTTGTTAAATGTAGTTGCACGAGTTAAAAATCTTTATTACTGAACAAAATGTGACTGACTGGCTTGGTGGTACTTTTTGTTCCTATTTTTTTGCTGTGTATTCCACTTGTAATAATCATGAGCCCCAAACTTAAATGCCACTTCAGCATATAAATGAGAAAAAATATTTATAGGAATTTGTTTGCTGTAGTTAGAGCTACAAAATATTCAATTGTCCTCAAATTGATCCCAAAGAACGATACTTTTCTCTTTGTTGCAGGGAAATGGAAGGCACAAAGCTCTTTATGCAAATTTTTGAAATGGTTTTTCCTTTTAAACATGTAAGCAATTAATTAAAATTGTCTCTAGATTTCCCATCAATGTTTTGTCTTCATCCTATTTTTCTATTCTCCGCTGGGTGAAATAAATCCTATTGAAAACTTACGAATGCATGTTGCTCTTTTTTTTTCTGAGTAATGTTTATTTCCAAACTCCTCCACAGTAGGGCAGGGAGTGGCAGCCCCAGTAGATGGTAAATCCCCTGGTTAGAGGAGGGTGCAAGTGGAGGGGGAGCAGGGTTCAGGTCAACAACAGCTGTCAGAGCGTCAGGTTCAGTTGCAGGCCAGGGCCCCTGTGGCCCCCGCCTAACCCAAAGAACAACTGACTCTGAGGGACGCCCGCCATCCGCCCCTTAAAAAAAAAAATCTTTTTACTACACCCATGACTGTCAGCACCAGGTGCTGCATGTGATAGACTGTGCTCTGAGTGATAGACGAGTAAACCTGTTACCCAGGCTCGTGCAAATACAAGCATGATGCTTGCTGCAGCTCTAATGAAAACTGAATTTACTCTAATGCGGCCCAGCTGACGTTCAGTCACGGTGGCCTTAATTTACTATTGCCTGACGTTCTTTACGGCACTGGGAGTGATGGAAAAAAACAGAACACAAAACATGTGCATGCACAGTCCCATTATGCAACAGGAAAGATGCTTCAGCCATAAACAACAGCTGTCGTGCACAGTTGTGAGCACAACCAGTTGATTTTAAAAAGTTATTATTGTTTACTCTGTGAATCCCCATTTATAAATCTTCCCTATTCAATTACAGTGAACGTTGACTTCAGTTTCAAGACATTTTTCATGGTTTTAATGTCAGTTAGACATTTCTATTTTAGAAATTTAAAAGCATGGTTCACACAACAATGAAACCGCTGTCATTTATTTACCATCCACTTGTTTCAAGAAAGTTTTTTTTTTCTATTGAAAGCAAAAGATATTTTGAAACATAACTGGTAGAAATTGACTTCCATGTGAATGGAATCACCCTTAAACCCTCCCGTTACCCTAAAATCTGCCAACACCTTTAGCAATTAAAAACCTCCAGAATATATATAAAGATTTTCCTGTCTCAGACACAATCATATGTCACTTTTACTGTCAAAACTTAATGACAAAACCTCACTGACAGAAAACTTTTGCTTAGATGGCATTTGTTTTCAATTGAGAGAGCTTAAAGGGAGAGCCAACAGAGCACAAAGAGAAATAGTTTATAAAGCATCTGTGTTTTTATAGCTTTGGATCAACCTGTAAACCATGTGAATTTTGTTTTCCCCTCATTCAAAAAAAAAAAACAAAAACAAAAAAAAAAAAAACACAGAAAATATCTAAGTTCTCACACGAATTAGTTTTTCCCCCCCTCCCTCATGGCATGGGAAACATCAAAGTTCCCACGAGAATTAGTATTCCCCCCAACCCCAACACAACATTTTTTTAAAATTAAACTTAACATACACAATTTTAGTGCATATTACAAAATGATAGCATGTTACAGTGACCTCAGTATCACCCAAAACAAATGTGTGTAATTATTTTCTAAAATTTCTTATGTCTTTTTTAGCTTGAGGCCCAAAGAACACAGATGTGACCAAGTTTTCCCCATTAAATTAGGAAAAGTAATACAATATGAAAAAAGTCAATTATATATGTACATATGTTTAACATTGAATGTGGTCAAATTGACCCTAAAGATGATAGAAGAGTTAAATGGATAGTTGGTTCACTTGTTCAAAAATGTACTGGCTGGTAAGTTGCCGCCCATTAACTTCCGTAATTTTTGTTTCCTACTATGAAAGTCGATGGGTAGCAGCAATCAGAATTCTTTAAAATATCAAAGAAACTCAAAGTTTTAAACCAACATGAAGGAGTAAATGATGAGGTAATTTACATTTTTGGGTGAACAATCCCTTTAAGAGTGAGCAAAACTTTCACTTTTAGGTGAACTACACTTTTAAGCTAAATAACTACTAGAATAGAACAACTAAAAACCTGTCTTAATCTTAGTCTTTCTTAACCAATTTCCTAAAGCACCACTAGAGCTGTGTGGAGTTCTGGCAGCTTAAACAGCGCTTTAAAACATTTAGAAAAAGCCAAGCGGTTTCAGAAAGTGACGTGAAAGCACTGAAGGGGAGAGATGTTTTGGCGCGAGAACAGGCTGCGCTCTGTTTTCTTCTCTTCCTCTCTCCGCACCTGGCCAGCACAGCCTGGCAGTGGATGATACGAGCGTTTGGCAGCCTGGTGCTCAGGGCCGACCCTGCGCCTCCACCTCCTGCCTCTGGCCTCCAATTCAACACCTCAAAACACAACAATGCAACACTGAGCTGAAAGAGACACCCTTAGTTTTCATAAGGTAAACACTTTTAATAAGGCCTTCATTTGGGCAATATTATGAAGCATTAGATGAACTATGAAGAAGAGTCCTTGTGGGTGTAAAAAAAACAGTGCAAAAAATATGTTATTACTACAACAGGCGCTGTACATGACTCTTAAAGGAGATATTTCTTTAAAGGAACACTCCACTTTTTTTTTGGAAATGGTCTCATTTTAAAAGTCACCTAGAGTAAAACAGCGGATTTGTACCGTTTTTAAATCCATTTAGCCATTCTCTGGGTTTGGCAGTAGAATATTTATCTTAGCCTAAATCACTGGAAATGAAAAGTTGCTGTGGTTGCCAAGTTCCTTGATTAGTTTGATCCTTGATAGTTTCTAGCCATATTGACCTAGAAAATAGCAACTTTTCGTTGCTAATGGTCTAATCTGACTCCATGATTTATGCTAAGCTAAAAGTGTTCTGCAAGGCCTGAAGGCGATTTGTACAACAAGCTTATTTCCAAAAAAAGTCAAATGTTCCTTTAAAAGCAGTATTATTTGGGAAATAGAAAAGTCTCTCTGATGTAACACCGATTTTAGTCCTGATCTGAGAGCTCCAGGTCCTCAACCATATCTTCATCTCCCTCAGCCACCTGTTTCAGCTCTGTACTCAACATCTTCTTTGGAGCTTTGCCCTTAGAAGATGAAGGCTGCTTCTGGTCTCCATCTAAGAAAAATCACAGGAATGGGGAACAGTTTAAAAAACAGGCAAATACAGGTGAATAATGAAAACACACAGAAGTTTCCTTGAACAATCATATCTAGCCTCACTCAAAACAGAAACATAATCACCAGAATCGTCTTCGTTATCTTCATCACTAAGGTCTGTGAGGTCCTCCAGGCCTTCATCATCCTCATCAGAATCATCTTTTTCCTCTGTAAAAGATAAAAAAAAATAAAATCTTTAAAGCAGTGATCAACATGTAATTACTCTGCAGTTCAAATCCAAATGGACTTTTATCTTACTAATACAGAGGCAAGTAAGGTGAGCAGCCAGATCAAATTAGCATTTTTTAAGACATCATTAAATCAAAACAGATCATTTCTAATTTATCTGCAAGATTCAACCCAAAGCAATTTGTTTTCCTTCAGAAACTTTTATCAAAGGATGAATGGAAAGTTCACCCAAAACTAAATTCTGTTAAAAAATTCTGTTTTTGCTCAAGCTCCACTTGTCATAAACTTGTATGAGTAATCTTTTACCATACACTTTCATAGTAGGCAAAAACAAATGTTATGGAAGTCTCTATATATATTTATATATAGTTTAACAGAAGAACAAAGGTGAGAATGGGTGCTTTCACATTTGTGGTTCGGTTCATTTGGTCCGGACCAAGAGCAACAAATGATACATTGTAGCATTTTTCTGCCGTTTTTGTGTCCTTTTCACATCACACTGATTGCTTTAGACCAATCTAGTTGAAAAAAACAAAACAAAATGCAGTCAAGTAACAAAATCCACATCACTCATTTGTGAGATGTTATTGAACGCATTTCCTTAAACTGCTTTTCGATTGGTCTGAATTATTGTGTGGGAAAATGGCCATGGAACTCCCGCAAGTAAGCAAAGCGATAAAAACAAAATGTCGATTTTTACTACGCAGGGACGACTGCGCAGGCTGATTGTATCCCTGGTCATAGTAATGTATACTATATAGTTTATATAAATTACTTTAGACAAACTCTGCATTTCAAGAATGAAGCTGGAAATCAATGTTTTAATTCATTGCAAATGGTAAAGACGCATTGCAATTCACTTTGCGATGTGACATGGTCATCTTCCAAAAAATATTACCAACCATCCATCAGCTAATGTTTTCCCTCTCTCCCTCTGTTTAAAATTGTTGGTAAAGCGCTGTCAACAAAAATTTTTTTCCACACCTCATAAGATGGGACAGCGCATAGGACTATGGCAGCTGGATTAGTCCAAAAATACTTTTTGTAGTTGGGTCTGTTTTAGTTCGGATAATGTGAAAGAGTACAGAGACACCACCTCTTCAATGAGGTCTCGGTATGCTTTTTTGGTCCGCTTTTGGTGCGCAAACGAGTACGATTGCTACATTCACACCTGCCCGAACGAACCATACCAAGTGGGAAAACGAACTTAAGTGCGATTCAACCGTACTAATTAAGACAGGTGTAAAAACACCCTAAATAAGGCTGAACTATCCCTTTAAGCATCTTTTAAGTCTTTCATATTGTGCTTTATTGAGCTCTTCATGCACTTTCTTTGTATATTATTTTGTCTGTAAGGTGACCTTAAGTGTTCTGAAATGACTAATTAAATAAAATGTATTATTATTATTACTACTTATAACAAATACAATTAAAAAAGTTACAAAAACGTAGTAATAAAAAAAAACAAAATGAAAACAACCCTTTAACACTAAAAATAGACTACACAGATGACCCATACTGCTCACAAACTCACCATTCACATAAAATAGAGGCCAGCTTCTGATGGCAGTTTAGCCTGGCTAATCCAGAGGTGTGTGTGTGTGTGTGTGTGTGTGTGCATATGGGAGTGTCTTGTGCTCTGAAGAGGACGGGGCTGAAATCCCTCAGCTTTGAAGTGGGATTTGATTAGATGCTGCCTGGGAGGTGAATGGCAGCGCAGACACCCTCCACCCTAATTACCCAGAACACACTGAAGCCAGCCAGAGGGAGAGCGCAGCTTAACGCCAGGCGCACACCTTGCTGCTAAGAGCGACCTCATGCATCTTAATATAACAGGTTAA